AGTAATAAAATAAACTTCTAACTCTTTTATGCTGCGTCCGCACCTACACGGGTATTTGTGAACACGCAGCTGTTTCGTCCACGTAAACAATCACCGAAAACGGAGATTTTTTAAAACTCCTTTTTGCATTTATGTGTGGACGAGGAATACAGAGTTCGTCACGCAACGTCAAAGGTATGTGCCTTTTTCACGTCACGCTGTGCGCCACATTATTGTTTACATGAGATGAATCGCAGAATGGCAGATGGAGACAAAATACTGTTAATCTGACTGTCTGCAGGTTTTACACGCAGTTACTGTCCCTCCATTTACGTCACGCTGTGGTTATTTTATGTGTAGTTGGTTTTTTTCTGTGTAATAATATTCAACATTGCTGTCAGTACATTTTTCAAAAAACTGCCTCTCTGTGCAAAATGGGTTTAAAAACATAAACAGCTGTGGGATCCTGTTTGTCCGTGATTTGAACCGGGGGGACAAATCATGTCAGGATCAGCCTGTTATTTGTATCCCGCTGTGACTTTACTGTATAAAGAGCAAACATCTCCAAAATGTCAGGAGTAGTGAGTCATTACAACAAGTGTTTGTGAACTAAAGATCAAGAATGTGGGATCCTGTTTGTCCGTGATTTGGAGAGCGCTGCTCCCAAACCAATCCTGCAGGGAGACCTACCTCGGCACTTGTGCAGGTGAAACCAAAGGGAACATTTGCTTCACCATATTTTCTTCTTTGGCTTAGAATGAAGTTGGTTTGGAAACATATTCAGCGATGCTTCATCTCCTGCTTTGCGCTTGTGTGGGCGCCCCAAAGCGTTTTTTTTTCCCCCTTTTCACACCGCCCCCCTGCAATGGCTGTTCGCCCCCCCAGGGGGCGGGCCCCAGACTTTGGGAAGCTTTGATTTATGAGTTTCTCTGTTATGTTGCCCTGAGACACTGGCCCCACCCATCAATGCCAGTGGAGGTGCTGGAGCCTATTCCAGCTGCCACAGAGTGAGAGGCGGCGTGTATCCTGGACGGGTCACAGGTCTGCAGCCTCTTGGTGTCAAATTGCAACCAAAGTAAAAAACTTTGTGAAAAGTGTGGAAAAAGCAGTGTGGCTTACCCCATCACTGCCCCTCCTGCCTCCAAGAGAGGAGGCACACAGCACTGCTGCAGTGCATCATGGGACCAACACCAAAGAGTGTGTGATCTGGAGACAGTGCATCAAACTGTTCTGAAATAATTTCTCACAGATGCCTCAGCAGTGTCGAATTATGACCTTTATTTACTTTTGTTCCTTTCCAGCGACTGCAGAGGCGTCTCGTATCTCCTTTAGCTCGCTCTTCATGTGGTCCAATCACGGCTGAGGACACCAGTGTGAGCGACGCCCACATTTAACCTGCAGGTGGAGGCCATCGTCGGCCTCAGCTGCTGTCACAGAGGAGGTTATGATGGGATGTCATCACTGAACAGATCTGTTTGGCCAGCCGTTCTAGTGACCTCTGACCTTGCTGCAGGTAAATGATAAAAAATGGCGTGTTAATCTGGAGCCGTCTGTCGCTGCTCCAGATGATAACACATCAGGTTTCACGTACCCCTCACTGAGCATGCCCAGTGACTCCCACCCAGAACAGCTGAGTAGGCTGGTCTCAGAGAAGGTAATGACCAAGATAAACAAGTTAGAGGAAGTACCTGATGATGTCAGCACAGGTGAGAGCTGCAAACAGCCACTGATGTCCGAGTCTGAGCCATCCTTTACCTCGCACTTCAAACAAATATGTAGAACTGATTTTTGTCATCCGATTAATTAAATCATTAAAAAGAGAAACGTCTCAGTGATGCTGAACAACTACTTCATGCTTTATTACTTCTGGACCACAGTAATACATCATCAGCCTGTTCACTCTATACATATACATATTTTAATAATGATCTCGTCTGTGTGTGTTTATTTTGTAATGTTTATATTTTTCTTTAGTTTTTATTTTAATACTTTTGTGGTTTATTTTTCAGTATTTTGACAAATTTTATTTGAATCGCAGATATGAATTTTTTAGTGTAATTTAGGTAGTATTGTAGGAACCTCTTAATATCATTTAGCATATTTTTGGTCTTATTGTAATTTTGCATTTTATTTATTTTTATTTATTTATTTATTTTGCATACTCCTCCCATACTGACTTCTCTTCACTGGCTTCCTGTTAAATCCACAATTAAAGTTCAAAATCTTTCTCCTCACATACAAAGTCCTGAATGATCAGCTTCCACGTTCTCCTAAAACACCTGAACTGAAGGCAGCAGGACTCCTTCCTGGTTCCTGAAGATGCTCCACCTCTCACTCAGGTGTTCAGTTTTAAAAAGACTCAGGTGTTTTCTCTTAGGTGTAAAACCTGGGACCGATTGGTGAATGTGAAACATCTTCACAAACCAAAATCCCTTCGTTGTTGGGATGTTCTCTGTGACGTCACAGTCGTCTTACACAGCACTCGTGTGAGCAGCAATAAAACTGAAGTCAGTCACAGGATAGGAGACTCTTCCACACAGGAAACGAGTCTGATCGTAGTCACTGCTTTGTCTCAATTGTTTCCATTACAGCAATGATTCCCATTGGGTCCCCCTAGTGGGCCACAGAGGTACTGCAGGTTGAAATCCTGTACAAGTATGTACAGATCCATTTTCATATAAATAGGAGATGGTTAGTTTGATATATATATTAGATATTGCTCATTACTCTTGTGTACCAGTGGCAGATGGGTCGCACACTGACTTTAACAGCAGTAGTAGTTATTTAAAGCCAACAGCCTGTTTGGTTTATGTTTAAAGGAAATCTCTTCCTGTTCTGTTTCAGTTAGGGTGAAGATTTCAGATGCGTGGACCCCTGTGGGATTTTCTGGTCTTTAAGTTGTCCACAGTGCTCTTGACTTTGGAAATCTGTTCTCTATATTTGCTCTATCGACTTTAGGACAACAGAGAACTGTAGCATTTTGTAAAACTCTAATCTGGTAGAAAAATACAATAACAATAATGTATGATAGAGTGTCTGTTTGTTCATTTAATCCTTTGAGCTCGTGTTGTGTGTTTGTCATAGTTTCTGTCTCCTCCGTGTTGTCGCCTTCACTGAAGCGAATCAGCCTTCGCTCTCTATCTGACCACACACGCGTCACATGGACGGAGACTTGACAGATGGTTCACGTGGAGATTTAACAGATGATAGTTTAATTGTGGAGCGTTTGCTGTGGGTGCGAGGAGGTTAAACAGCTGATTAATGCGAGGCTAACAGCGAGCGGCTCCTGCAGTGGCTCCTCCGTCTCTCGCCGCTGTGATAATGAGCTCATTCGATATGCAGATTCGATCCCCAGAGGCCTCGTACAATTAATTGTTCTCGTTGACTCGAGTAATTGTTTGTTTGCAGGTTTAATTTGGAGATTCAGAAAGCGTCACATGACGAGCGCGAGCCGAGCGTGATGTAATGAGCGGCAGCTGATCTGTGACGTCATGTTATGGCCCAAATGATGGCCAGCGCGGTTCAGTTACAGCCTCAGCTGAGCTTTGGATCACATGTGTCACAAAGCAGGGGTGTGTCTACAAGGGGGGCAGTGGTGGCACCAGCCAAGCCATCAGACTCGGGTACTGTTAATCTTACAAAGTAGCTGAGTACATTTACTCAAGTACTTCTCTTAGGTTTAATGTTCTTGTACTTCAAGTATTTCTATGCTGCGTTCTGCTTTTATATACACCAGGTAATGAGGGAGAGGAAACAGGTGGGGGCACAGCTGGAACTAATGACAGAAGAGGGGCTGTTGTGATTTGGCACTTGATGAGACAAGGGAAGCAGAAATGAGAGACCAGAGACCATCAAAATAAAACAGGAAATGACTAACAGATATGACTAAATCTCATATCCCGATATAAAACATCTATCGTCCGATAACGATATAAATCACAAAAATTTAACATTTTCTGTAAATTCTGTGAATCTCGGGCAGCTGAAGTGTTTCCAGCAGGGCGTCGTGTATCTGGAGTCGAGTGTTTTACCGATGCATGAAACTGCACATTTTTAGACGTTTTCTTTGCGGCGTGCTGCAGGGAACAGCCTGTTCTAACGTTTGAGTCTAAGGTTTATTTTTTAGCACCTGACGCCTCTTT